CTGGGGGGGGGGGGGGGGGGGGGGGGAGACTAGTTGTATTTGAGAGTATAATATGTTTGTACCACTAAAAAAATAATAACAATATATTTCTTAGTGTCCACCACTCGTCACAACTCAACAAGTGGTATCAGAGCCTGAATTAGAGTGCACGTATCTGCTTATCGTATGCTCTGTGGCTGCCATCAAAGATGGATCATCCACATCAGAAAATAAGTTAGATTATCATTTTCCATTGGAAAGCACTGGTTACTATTTATGAGTAGGACACTATTCATGAATATGGTTACTGTTCATAAGTACAGTTACTGTTCACGTGAAATGGTAGAAGTTGCAGCTCGTGATAGAAGTAAGACGGTCAGGACCTGCTCTGTCCTACGGTGATCCTATCAGCATCCTTGAAGGCCGAAGTTCGTGTTTAGTCCGGAACTATGAAGTTGGTTGGTTAGTGACCAGACTTGCGTGGAGATACTGAAGCAGTACCACGTCACGATGGTGGATCTGGCAAATACGACTACTACACTCAAGAAACTCAATGATAATAACTATAACTACTAGGAGACATGTATGAAGTCCTATTTACAAGGACAAGACCTCTGTGAGGTCATCGGGGGTGCTGGAACTACAACACCTCGGGAGCCTGGCGAAGTACTAAGGAAGTGGAACATCAAAGCCGGCAAGGCCATGCATGTGCTGAAGTCAATAGTAGAAGAAGATCTCGTAGATTAAATGCTAGATGCCAGAACTCCGAAGGAGGCATGTGATATGCTCATCATACTTTTTTCAAAGAAGAATGATGCTCGACTTTAACTCCTGGAGAATCAATTGATGACCTTTACAACATAAGGATCTGACAATCAGTCAGTACTTCAAGCAAGTAAAATCACTTTGTTCAGATATTGTTCAATTAGATCTAGATTCTAAAGTATCCGATGCAAGGATGAGGAGAATAATCATTCATGGTTTAAGACCGAAATATCACAGACTTGTTGTTGTTACACACGGGTGGCCAACTCAACCAACATTATTAGAGTTGGAGAGTTTGCTCGCTACACAGGAAACCCTAGCAAAACAAATGGTTGGCGTTTCAATAAAAAACGAAGATGAAGCACTCTTCAACAGCAAGGAGAGAGGCAAAAACCAAGAGGCGTGACGAAAGAGGAGTATGAAAATGCTGGTTCAAGGGGGCAACCAGGACGACCATGCACCAACAAAACACAACAGCATGAGGAGCAAGGTGATCATCGAGCAAGGAGACCTGATAGTAGCTATTATAACTGTGGGAAGTAAGAACAATTTGCCAGAGACTGCCACTACAAGAGAAGACCTGCAGAGGGCAATGCTGCAACATCACCTAGATGTCAAGATGATGAAGAAGAATGGGATGCCAAAGCATCCGCGTCCATCATTGAAGATGTACCAGTCGACGAAGATGAGGTTGTTGGTAAGACACTAACCTCTATTGTAGAAGAATCTGAGTCTGCATTTGCAGCGGTTTCAGATCGAGAAGAAATCAGCTATAATAAATATTGAATCGTCGATTCTGGCTGTTCCAACCACATGACGGTAGATAATGGAAACTTGTCAACATGAAGGAGTATAAAGGCGGACGAGAAGTTGTGATAGCAAATAATTTAAGATTATCTATCACACACATTGGAAAGACTACATTTACGCTGCGCTACAACCTAAATCGGATACAACTACAAGATTTATATCATGGATATGAAAAAGAATCTTTTACCTATTTCCCAATTTTATCAGATTCTAGAAACTATGTAGTATTTGGGCCACAAAATGTAAAAATCTATCGAAACTTGAAGCCACCGGGAGAACCTGTCATGGAGGGACGGAAGGTAGAATCTGTCTGTGTGATGTCGGTAGAATTGACATACATAGATAAAGCTAAAAAGAATGAGACGTTTGATTTGT